GATCAATCTACAATATAACATAAAAATTTTTGGCGATCGGAGTAAATGTCACGTGGTTATAATGCCACGCCCCTTTGAGGTCTAAGTCGAAAATCTGCTGTTGCCGGCATTTTTTAATGAAAATCTCTCGGCTACACATAGTGCGCATTAGTGCCTTACGCTGAACAGAGTTTCACCAAAATCGCAAATACCCAATTCGAGAAATTCAGTGGTTTCCAAATTAAGGTCATAATTTATGCGAAAATGATAAGCAAACTTTACACGATTATGTCTAATAAACTATGAGATTCATCCCTTTATTTTGGGCATTGTTATAACAGATTGGTCCTTGCAAGTCAGCAAAACGCTTTAGGGCCTTGTCAATGCGCGCGATATCGAGCAAAGCAAACATATAGAAATTATAGTTTTCGCTATTTTTTGACGTTTGTCAGCGTTTAAGAGTCCTTCTCACGAAAAAAGCATTTTCTTAAAAATTCGTAGTTTTTTTTCCTTCAAATTTTTCAGGGCCACAATTGATCAACTAACTACCCGGATTCTGAATTTCTATAAAAAATATATGTTATCCATTCTATGTGTTAGACTTACGATAAAAGTAAAGGTGGGGATAACAGAGAGCTTCAAAGTAGGATGGTACCCCCCAGAAAAACTGGGTCGAGTCACCTTAAAAAGATTGTTTGACGAGAGATTCCTCACCTTTAGACTGTACAGTATATACAAAATGCATTTGAGAATTTTTTGATTGATTATGATATTTAAAGGAAAACGACCAAGCTCTGCTCTACAAGCTATATTAGAAGCTTTGGTTGTTTGCCTCCAAGTATCGTTTACAAAATTGAAGGTGTAACTTCTCGATTTGTGAGCCGTCCCAGGTCTTAAAATCTGGTTTGGCATACACACCCCAAATTTCACTGTTATATGTTAGAATAGGGGAGATCATAGTATTAAATATTTTACAGGCGAGAGCTGCTTTTAGTTTGCTGAGATTCGTGTGTCGTCTCAAGCTGAAGAGGGCATGAAAAGCTTTCTCCTTGAGATGTTCACGTGACACTGAAAAAATTCCCGATGAGGACATTCGAGTTCCTAAGTGTACTCTTGTACAACATCAGTTATTTGACTATCTCTGAGAAAGTGAAAATCAGCATTTTTTCTCGCACGTTTCAGAAAAACCAAAATTTTTGTTTTCTCGGGATTGATTTTCATCATCCATGAAGTACACAATGAAGATAGTTTATCGAGAAAATTTTGTACTCCTGTTTTGGATCGTGATAAAATGATTAAATCGTCTGCATATAATAAGAGAATTTAGTTTTGCACCGTTTGGTTAAACAAAAGGATCAGATAATGTATTTTCAAATGCGAAAGGTAGGTCGTTAATATAAAGATTAAAAAGCAGTGGACTTAAGATACAGCCTTGCCGCACACCTCTCGCATAACGGAATGATCGCGTTTGTTTTTGGGCAATTTTAATTAAGCAGGAAGAGTTGTGATATAAGCTTTTAAATAGCAAGTGGTTATATTGCTTGCATGGCCCACGCCTTTCTCTCTCTTCCTCATGCTGACAGTTAGACAAAAATGGCTAATTTTATACACCCTTTGTAGTATTCTTTTCTGTAGCTGACATCTGTAACTGCGTAAAAAATGGTATTGAAGTTTTTATAGAAATGGAATCCAATTTTAATTCTTAAATTTTGTCCATCTTCCAAAACATTAAGGGCAAACCATTTTTTATATATTTCAGTTGCGATTATCCAAAACATTTACTGTGACCGGATTTTACCAAACCTGTTTGGTTTTCCTACTTCCACTTGAAATTAAGATGGTAAAGACTGAAAAGAAACTAATAATAATAATAATAATAATAATAATAATAATAATAATAATAATAATAATAATAGTAATAATAGTAATAATAATAATAATAATAATAATAATAATTTACTCACTTAATATAGCGCCTTTTAACATTAAAATGATCAAAAGCGCTTTACATGAATTTAACTAATTCTGTTGACTTTAATATGCTTTGTTACAACCAAAATCTCGAAGGGCAAATATCAACACGGGAAGGGTGTATTGCTTGAAACCTCTCCTCCAATTTGCCACCACGTGATCTAAAATAGCCAGTAAAATCGCGCGAAGATAAGTCCAGATTAATTTTACAGTGAAACCAGTCACCTGCGGTTTTCCACTTGTGTTTGAACATGTTGAAATCATTTCTATGGTCGATAAGAGTACAGACCATGGACAACTGGTGTCGATTTGTTGCATCGAAATCGCTTCTTATCATTATCATGATTATAAAAATCATTATTATTGTTATCAATATAGCGCTGGGAAGGGATTGTTAGTAAATTCAGCGTGCCATGTTTTGCTGTTTTTGCTTACTTTATTTAGTACTTGTGTCTATTTACAAATTGGTAACTCTGTAAACGAACTTTATTGTAACTTACATTTACATATCGGGTTTCATCAGTGGTTCATTAACAAACTGCGATTTTGCCTTGATTTTTTCCTTTCTAAAACAGTAAAAGGACAAATCTCCTACACATTTTAAGAAATTAGAGAAACCCGCGCGTATGCAGATCATTTCCTCACCTTTTCGCATGCTTGACATGATTTACAATCTTTTCGACCAGGTCATCACTAAGACCTGGACAAGATGTCTCTACTAATTTAAATGCATCAATGAGATGTTCTATTGAACGTTCCTGGCCACTGTGACTTGAACTAAGCTGGAAAGAAAAAGAAAGAATGCCTTTAGGTCAGTTTTAACATATTACGGAAGATGATATTCACTGTTGTTTCAAGTCATTATACTGCATTTGATCATAAGTTTGGGTCTGAATCCGAAAAACAGTCCATAACGGCCTTCAGACGACTTCTTTTGCAGTCCACAAACAAACACACAACTTTAATAACTAATTTTAGTCTTTTAAGTTTACAGCAATGAGCGAGAACGTCGAATACAGGTGTACTAGATGAGACTGCCCTTAGCTGTGATGTGGTTTAAAATGTTATTCAATAGCTTGATCAGAGAAAGATAAACGTACTTTAATACGGTAAAAATGTAAACAAAGATTCGCAAATTAAAATCTCCCTGAACATGCGATCTTCACAAGGAAGCAACAGAAAATTTGCTGGAAATTAGAGGGGCCTTTTTCTCTTGTCAGAGAGACTTGCAACACTACTTTTACGTCACATTATTATTACTATTATTATTAGTTATAATTGTTGTTCTTTAATTTCAAGGTAGCCTTTTAAAAAAATTCTGAAAGAAGGAATACACCAAAATTCATAGAAAATACCTTGAAAGCTTGTTGTGGATATAAAGATAACACATTTATGAAACGTTCTTTGCAAATATCCTAATATTAAGCTGACAGTACAGAATGTGACTGTCATCGCCTTGAAAGCACATAAGTGGCTTTCAGGATATCTGTAGTACGATGTACGACAGAAGTCAAAGTGAGAACCGACAAGCAGTTCTTATTTCACTATACTTCTTGAATTGATTCCAGCGAGGACGTCCTTACCTTGGTCAAAACTGGCAACAAAAGAGTTGATAAATACTTAGATGCTGAATTTCCTTCTTTCTTGTTGTCATTTGGTACCTAAAATCAATGCAATAGTTAAAGCCAAGTTACTCATATGAAGTTTGAGCTCTATGCAACGCTGGATGCAACCTCTGCCTGAAGGAAACTGAGAGTAGTCGGTTAGGAAATTTCCAGATTTGGGGCACTTCTTTAGCACACACAATGGTTTTTAAATCAAGGCAGTGAGTAATGCATAAGAAAATCCTTTTTTAAGAACTCATAAAACGTCACATTCTTCAAACCATACATTTATCCTTGCACCCCTTCCAAAATTTTTCCAAGGTCTTTGTTTTGGCCAGTGAAAGTAACAAAATCTTGCACTTCTCTGATATATGTCTAAGCTTCTGAGGGTCTGTACCTCAAACAGTTTTCTAAGAACCTCAATTTGGCTTTGCATAACCAAATCTAACAGCACAACTGTGACTTGTACTTCTATTGTGCGAACTGATGGCATTGATTATCAGTGCACACATGCTTACGGTAACGACAAAAAATAAAGCTGCAAAACAGTCAAATAGTACACCAATCAGAGCATCATTGTGCTTCAGAAGAGGTCTGCCATTTCCAAAACCTCTGTTTATATCCAGAGAAATTTAAAAGACGATCCTGTGTGGAGTTCCTGGCACAAGTGAATTATGTTAACAATGCAGTACGTACTTTGTGGGAAGCATCTGGAATATTGATATCTGCACCAACAACATTTTCAACTTTCTCTGGTTTTTCACCTTCTATGGGCCAAGGATTTTTTCTTTCTTGGGGAAAAATCCACTTTGAAGTGCCTACAGAACCAACTCCATCTCTGAAATGATACACAAAACAATGATAATGATAATAATAATAATAACAATGATGCTACTAATTTTTTTTTTTTAAATGTAAGAAATCTTTGTTTTTATTATCACATTATTATTATTATTATTATTTTTTTAATACTACTACTACTAATAATAATAATAATAAGAAAAAATTTATTGACAACAATGCTAACTATTAAAATCCTATTTACAATTAACTCGCTTGAAAATAAGAAAAAACTATTAAGTCAAAACACTATTTACAATTCCTGTCAATTTAACAAGCACTTAATTTAGCTTAGAAAGAGTTAATTTTGAAGTTAATTGTTAAGTTTCTTTCAAATGTTTAAGAAAAATAAAGCAAGATAAAATAAAAAATCAATTAATTCGGGCAGGCTATAACATTTTCGATCTGTAGATCAGAGTCAACAAAGTCTAGCTGTCGTCTTCTGGATCTTAAGCCTCCCAAACATAGTATCGCAGAGCGTACGATGGCGAAAGATACTTTAGCTCTTATCCAGGAAATTGCGCTTGCGTAACTTTCTCCCTTCTTAAGAAGGAATTTAGAGATGCAATCAAGTTACGGTACGACTGGGAAATAACGGACACGCCCATGATCTGCGCATGCGGTGTTCAATTTAGCGTGGATCACGCAATGGTGTGTCAGCGCGGCGGATTCATTAGCCAGCGCCATAACGAACTGCGCGACTTGGAAGCAGAGATGTCAAGGATGGTCTGTAATGATGTGGAAGTAGAGCCGGTCCTTCAGGAGGTCACTGGGGAGACATTAAATCATGGCGCTAACAAAGCCCCTGATGCCCGTTGGATATTCATGCTCGAGGTTTTTGGGAGAGACAGAGATCTCCATTCTTCGACGTTCGGGTGTGTCACCCTAATGCAGACTCTTACAGACTCTTCCTAATCAAATCTACAAGAAGCATAAGAACGAGAAGAAGAGGCAGTATGCAGAAAGAGTCATGGACATCGAACAGGGAACGTTCACTCCCTCAATTTTCACGACCACAGGTGGAATGGCGGATGAGTCTGTTGTGTACCACAGCAGACTTGCGGAGCTGATCGCAATTCAGATTGTAATCCAACTCTTCGAGGGGAAATACGGTCGGCCAATTTGATGATCCCTTCTCTGTAGCTAACTCAACAGCTCCCTTATTCATTATCATGATTATAAAAATCATTATTATTGTTATCAATATAGCGCTGGGAAGGGATTGTTAGTAAATTCAGCGTGCCATGTTTTGCTGTTTTTGCTTACTTTATTTAGTACTTGTGTCTATTTACAAATTGGTAACTCTGTAAACGAACTTTATTGTAACTTACATTTACATATCGGGTTTCATCAGTGGTTCATTAACAAACTGCGATTTTGCCTTGATTTTTTCCTTTCTAAAACGGTAAAAGGACAAATCTCCTACACATTTTAAGAAATTAAAGAAACCCGCGCGTATGCAGATCATTTCCTCACCTTTTCGCATGCTTGACATGATTTACAATCTTTTCGACCAGGTCATCACTAAGACCTGGACAAGATGTCTCTACTAATTTAAATGCATCAATGAGATGTTCTATTGAACGTTCCTGGCCACTGTGACTTGAACTAAGCTGGAAAGAAAAAGAAAGAATGCCTTTAGGTCAGTTTTAACATATTACGGAAGATGATATTCACTGTTGTTTCAAGTCATTATACTGCATTTGATCATAAGTTTGGGTCTGAATCCGAAAAACAGTCCATAACGGCCTTCAGACGACTTCTTTTGCAGTCCACAAACAAACACACAACTTTAATAACTAATTTTAGTCTTTTAAGTTTACAGCAATGAGCGAGAACGTCGAATACAGGTGTACTAGATGAGACTGCCCTTAGCTGTGATGTGGTTTAAAATGTTATTCAATAGCTTGATCAGAGAAAGATAAACGTACTTTAATACGGTAAAAATGTAAACAAAGATTCGCAAATTAAAATCTCCCTGAACATGCGATCTTCACAAGGAAGCAACAGAAAATTTGCTGGAAATTAGAGGGGCCTTTTTCTCTTGTCAGAGAGACTTGCAACACTACTTTTACGTCACATTATTATTACTATTATTATTAGTTATAATTGTTGTTCTTTAATTTCAAGGTAGCCTTTTAAAAAAATTCTGAAAGAAGGAATACACCAAAATTCATAGAAAATACCTTGAAAGCTTGTTGTGGATATAAAGATAACACATTTATGAAACGTTCTTTGCAAATATCCTAATATTAAGCTGACAGTACAGAATGTGACTGTCATCGCCTTGAAAGCACATAAGTGGCTTTCAGGATATCTGTAGTACGATGTACGACAGAAGTCAAAGTGAGAACCGACAAGCAGTTCTTATTTCACTATACTTCTTGAATTGATTCCAGCGAGGACGTCCTTACCTTGGTCAAAACTGGCAACAAAAGAGTTGATAAATACTTAGATGCTGAATTTCCTTCTTTCTTGTTGTCATTTGGTACCTAAAATCAATGCAATAGTTAAAGCCAAGTTACTCATATGAAGTTTGAGCTCTATGCAACGCTGAATGCAACCTCTGCCTGAAGGAAACTGAGAGTAGTCGGTTAGGAAATTTCCAGATTTGGGGCACTTCTTTAGCACACACAATGGTTTTTAAATCAAGGCAGTGAGTAATGCATAAGAAAATCCTTTTTTAAGAACTCATAAAAAGTCACATTCTTCAAACCATACATTTATCCTTGCACCCCTTCCAAAATTTTTCCAAGGTCTTTGTTTTGGCCAGTGAAAGTAACAAAATCTTGCGCTTCTCTGATATATGTCTAAGCTTCTGAGGGTCTGTACCTCAAACAGTTTTCTAAGAACCTCAATTTGGCTTTGCATAACCAAATCTAACAGCACAACTGTGACTTGTACTTCTATTGTGCGAACTGATGGCATTATCAGTGCACACATGCTTACGGTAACGACAAAAAATAAAGCTGCAAAACAGTCAAATAGTACACCAATCAGAGCATCATTGTGCTTCAGAAGAGGTCTGCCATTTCCAAAACCTCTGTTTATATCCAGAGAAATTTAAAAGACGATCCTGTGTGGAGATCCTGGCACAAGTGAATTATGTTAACAATGCAGTACGTACTTTGTGGGAAGCATCTGGAATATTGATATCTGCACCAACAACATTTTCAACTTTCTCTGGTTTTTCACCTTCTATGGGCCAAGGGTTTTTTCTTTCTTGGGGAAAAATCCACTTTGAAGTGCCTACAGAACCAACTCCATCTCTGAAATGATACACAAAACAATGATAATGATAATAATAATAATAACAATGATGCTACTAATTTTTTTTTTTTAAATGTAAGAAATCTTTGTTTTTATTATCACATTATTATTATTATTATTATTTTTTTAATACTAATAATAATAATAATAATAATAATAAGAAAAAATTTATTGACAACAATGCTAACTATTAAAATCCTATTTACAATTAACTCGCTTGAAAATAAGAAAAAACTATTAATTCAAAACACTATTTACAATTCCTGTCAATTTAACAAGCACTTAATTTAGCTTAGAAAGAGTTAATTTTTAAGTTAATTGTTAAGTTTCTTTCAAATGTTTAAGAAAAATAAAGCAAGATAAAATAAAAAATCAATTAATTCGGGCAGGCTATAACATTTTCGATCTGTAGATCAGAGTCAACAAAGTCTAGCTGTCGTCTTCTGGATCTTGAGCCTCCCAAACATAGTATCGCAGAGCGTACGATGGCGAAAGATACTTTAGCTCTTATCCAGGAAATTGCGCTTGCGTGACTTTCTCCCTTCTTAAGAAGGAATTTAGAGATGCAATCAAGTTACGGTACGACTGGGAAATAACGGACACGCCCATGATCTGCGCATGCGGTGTTCAATTTAGCGTGGATCACGCAATGGTGTGTCAGCGCGGCGGATTCATTATCCAGCGCCATAACGAACTGCGCGACTTGGAAGCAGAGATGTCAAGGATGGTCTGTAATGATGTGGAAGTAGAGCCGGTCCTTCAGGAGGTCACTGGGGAGACATTAAATCATGGCGCTAACAAAGCCCCTGATGCCCGTTGGATATTCATGCTCGAGGTTTTTGGGAGAGACAGAGATCTCCATTCTTCGACGTTCGGGTGTGTCACCCTAATGCAGACTCTTACAGACTCTTCCTAATCAAATCTACAAGAAGCATAAGAACGAGAAGAAGAGGCAGTATGCAGAAAGAGTCATGGACATCGAACAGGGAACGTTCACTCCCTCAATTTTCACGACCACAGGTGGAATGGCGGATGAGTCTGTTGTGTACCACAGCAGACTTGCGGAGCTGATCGCAATTCAGATTGTAATCCAACTCTTCGAGGGGAAATACGGTCGGCCAATTTGATGATCCCTTCTCTGTAGCTAACTCAACAGCTCCCTTAGCTTTTGTCGGCAGGGAGTTCTTCACCTGCTCCAACCGCTCACTTAGACAGTCGTTTTTTTGTTTTCGTGTGCTCAGTAGTAGTAATAATAATAATAATAATAATAATAATAATAATAATAATAATAATAATAATAATAATAATAATAATAATTTATCAGAAGTACCGAGAAAATTAGGGACTCAAAGTCGTGGGAGTGGCTTAAGAGAGGGAAGCTAAAAAGTGAAGGATTTCTTATTGTCGCACAAGATCAGGCTCCGCATACAAAGCTAATTAGGTCTAATTAACTCTAAAAATGCAGGCCTTTTTTTTTTGTCTATCCTTCGCGAAAAGGGGGGCAGACTCCCAGACGTTCCTAGCAAAGACCGTGGAAACTGGGGATAAGAATCGTGACTAATCATTGTATAAAAATAAGTCTTGTGATGAGCATGCGTTTTATTTTCGGCGATGACTGAAATGACGCACGTAAGTTGAACACGTTTGGCAATGTAATTTTCCACGAATCGAGATCCTTGATTTTCGTGTAATATGCACGCGTATTAAAAAGTCAATACCCCGAGAAAATAATATTAAAAATTATTGTGGTGTATTGAGGTAATAAGTTACGGAACGGGTCGGTCCACGAAATTATATCACTTGAAAGCGTTAGTTACTAACTTTAGTGCTCGAAAAAAGAACAAACTTCCAGGTTTACTGGAAAACCAGGATCAAGGATCAAGGATGGGTTAAGAAAAACCTGAAAATAAAATAAATGTATAAATCGTGGTTCGTGGTGATGTGGGCCGCAGACTGTAGACAAATTTCACAGAACATAACCCCGCTCGCTGTACTGACTCACTGAGGACTAAATTTAACGGATTTAAGTAAACTACTCCGAGTCTGACTGAATCAGTGATTGTTTTGACGAGAAAGTGAGATTTCCCTGGAAAATGAAACGCTTTATCCCATTGATACTGTTATAAAATGCATGCTGTGTAAAGCTCTAAACATTATACTCTGAGATCGCGTAAACATCAACTGTACGAAGGTATTAAAAGCAGATACCAAGCAGCCATGGAAAATGTAATTAGTTTCACGCAATTTTGATATCTTCTTAAACGGACAACAAATTCAACATAAATACGTACGAACTGAATTAACTGTCTGTTGTATTGGCCATGTCGGAGTTGCGTAGGGAACTGGGGCGAGTTTCAAATTTAAACTAATCGATAAACTAACACCACCATATAAAAGGTCATGTTGAGATTGGTCATTTGACCAAGTTTGGTGCTCTAAGGTTGAACAGGGATCAAGTTACGACTCTTGAAACATGATTAAAGAGCCATACAAACCTCTGTAATTTTGTGACAGCGTCCCCCAAAACCATATAAACTCTTAATTTTTTTCACGATTTCTGTGATATTCCTAATAATGGGCAAACACAGTGATTTTCGAATTAGTCCTGTGCTGGACCAAAACTGTACCAAGCCGTATCTTGGTCC